TATCTTTGTGGCTATAAATGATAGAAACCAAAGAGCAGTTGATAACTCCAGTATTTTTGCAGACAATTTCCCTCTTGCCTGTTTTTTCTTTTTCTCTCCCCTGTTCCCCATTTGTCCCCCATCTCTGGCTTTTGCTCGCAATCTAAGATGATTTGCGCCAGAAAATTGCTGAGGCAAAGAAATACAACTTCCCGTGTTAATTCTCTTCCGAGAACATGGGCTCTTTTATACAAACCAAAATAATAATAAAAAAATTGAGAAACCGAGCCCGGCACGTGTCTGCTGTGACTTGAAATGAATCAGACTTGTCTCAACTCTCCCGGGCAGTAGGATCTTTAGACCGAGTGGCATTACTTTCCCCTGAGATTGCGTCTCTTTTTCTGAACAATTTTTCTTCCACACAATACAGTCTTTTGACGTATCACCGGGCAGAGGAGCCAGCCTTTTAGTCTGGATTCTGAATCCATCTGAAAAGAGGTGGAATATAACTGGTCCTACTCCCCTGACCAATGTGTCATGCCAGCAGGAGTAATGACCATTTCAGCAGGCCCCACACAGCTGGCTTTGCAGCAGTCCAGATGGCAGACACCTTGCCATTGTGCATCTGTGCAGTCCCACCCACATCCTAGGACAACAAACACACACTTACTGCTCTGCTGAGGCCTGAGCCGGCGTCTCTAATTCCCAGCTCTGTTAGTCACTCACTGCAGGCCACCCATGCCACTCTGCATCAGATTTGCCTATTAGTCAGGTCAGACCAGATGATCTAATGGTCCCTTCTGGCTTTAAAATCTAGAAGATGCTGAATCCATGTAGGCCTTACTTCCCACTTACACGAGACTGCCATGTACAATGTTCCTGCTCTCCTTTTAAACAATGCACGGCTGCATGGCTGGGCGAGCTCCCCGCTGCTATCCTGCCGTCTGCGGCCCACCGGCCCCCAGCCCTGAGTGCCACGCTACTCTACGTTACTTGAGAAACACTGTGAAGTAGGCCAGATCCGCTGCTGATGAAAATCGGCATAGCGCCATTGGCTTCCGTGGGGCTACAAGCGCCTCTGGAAAAGGGGGATACAAGTCGCACACCACATTTGGCAGTGGGAACAATAAGCATCCGCTAGCACAGAATCAGAAATTAGGGTTGCCGGGTGGCCGGTTTTTGACTGAAAAGTCCGGTCGTAAAGGGAACCTGGAAGTGTCCGATCAGATGTACGGACTGGACACTAATAGCCTGGTTACTGCGGGCAGGGGGGTAGTGGCAGCCTGTTGCCCAGCTCTGAAGTGGCGGCTCCCGCGGCAGCAAACATGCACCAGCTCGGGCCGCAGGTGGCCCCTTTGCAGAGCATGGCTTGCGGGGCTGTGGCAGGAGACAGAGTGCGGGGACCCATGGCGAGTGGGGTAAGGGCTCTCAGTAGGCATAGAACGTTCCCCGGGCGGGAAGGAACACGAGCTGCCCCGCCAGCCGGCACTTCCCCTGGCTGCGCTCTCAGGCAGCTCTGGGGCAGAGAGGGCTTGTGCGGGCGAGGAAGGGGGCTGCTGGGCAGGCAGCGCAGAAGGAGGCAGGAGGCTGCTCTGTCCTCTGGGTGAAGCAGGTAGGAGGGAGGAGCAACAGGCCTCTGCTTCTAATGACCATGGAGAGCCCCACCGCGCAGCCCGCGGGGAAACGGAAGCCCGGGGAGAAAGCCCAGCCCTGAGCTCCTGCAGCATGAACAGTCGCTGCTCGGGAAAGCAGCAACTACAACATAATTAGGGGCCCGATTCTCCTTTTTCAACCCGGTGTAATTCAGGAGTCACTCCACTGAAGCGGGTGGGGGAAATTCTCCGCCTCCAAAATAGGAATAGGAACTCATAGAATATCAGGATTGGAAGGGACCTCAGGAGGTCTTCTAGTCCAACCCCCTGCTCAAAGCAGGACCAATCCCCAGACAAATTTTTGCCCCAGATCCCAAAACGGCCTCCTCAAGGATTGAGCTCACAACCCTGCATTTAGTAGGCCAGTGCTCAAACCACTGAGCTATCCAAGTGATACACAGCCTGGCACACGGTGAGGCTGTTGGGCATGAAGCAAATGGAGCGACAGCACAGGGTCTGAGAAGGGCTATGGGGTGCTGCACTCTGCAGCGGTGGGTCGATGCTGGGGTAAATGTGCCCCATGCTCAATCAGGTAGGAACAGGGTTAATTTTCTGCAAAGGGAGCCTGGCCCCAGAGGCCCTGTTCAGCCTGCCAATTAGAGGCAGCCAGCTTCCACCTGGGCTTAGCAGGGCAGGTATTTAAGCAGGAAGAGTCAGTAGCCTAGGAGGTCTTAAGAGGAAAGCCTCTTAGACAAACACCTGGATTCTCTGAGTGTCCTAGAGCCCAGCCAGTGATCTGCTCCTGCTAGAGGGTGACCTATCTCCTGAGGACCCTTTCAGATAAGCCTCTAAATTCCTTTTTGGTTTTGAGCTGCCTGGGATGTGGGTGATGGATTCTGCCTGACAGATCTATGCTAGAGCAAGGGCTGATTCACTTCCCAGAGCCAGATCAGTGCATAGGCAAACTATAGACCAGGCCTAAGGCTTCAGCTCCTGGGGTCCCACTTCTGACCCTCCTGGCTGCAGGGGAGTGGGTGGAAAATGTGAACTGAGACTAACCAATGTGGCAATGTCTGCCTGGGGTCTGGCCTGCCCTTGGAAGGCTTTGCCCCCATGGATTATTCCAGACTCTCCCCACCACCACAGGGGAAACAAGCTGTCCCAGTAAAAGTGCAGTTCTGCTGTGTATCGGCACTCCAGGCTTGGTGCAGGCACAGGTGTGTTATACAGGGGTCACCACCCCGATCCAGCCATGCTGGCAGAAGGCCGTAGTGTAGACGTGGCTCAAGCCAGCAGATGGCCAGAAACAACCAACCTGAGAGGTGTGAACTGCCCCATGCCTCTAAATGTGTCTTCACAACAAAACCCACTGCGAGGGCGGCTAATATGCCACCCAAGCATGAGGGGAAGAGAGCAGCATGCTTAGCCCACCATCAAAACACATACACTCTGGCTCCTTGGGAAAATACACCAGGGGCATGGGGGCTCCTGACATGCCTGGTTGTGACACATCCAGGACCAAGCCTGCACACTTCTAGTAGCTGCCCTGGCCTCAACACAGGTGACGGGAGGTTCTCCTTTCTCCATGTGGTGCTAAGTGCACTTGTCTGTAGTACTTGAGTTCATTTCTGATGCTAAGAGCAAGGTGGCCCACCTTGCTGTATCTCAACAGATACCAGTGATGGCCTCTGAATTCATTTCACCCTGACATAGGGAAGCAAGCTGGGAAGTTTTCCGTACTCTCTGTCTAGAGGAGACGCTCGTATACAGTTCGTACCTTTGCAAAGCAATGAAGCTAAAACCAGCTGCAAGATGCAGCACCTCAGTGTGGGAGTGCTGCCGTTTGTCAGTAACTAATTGCGGTACACCCACCACCATGGAAGCAAAGTTACTAGGTTCAGCCCCAGCTGAGTCAATGTGGCATACTTCAGCCATGGAAATCTGTAACGGTTCTGCCCGGGCTGAGTCTGTCTGGTGCGGGACGATGTATATAAGCAACAGCATGAGTTTAGAGGTGAGATCATGTGACGTGTCGTAAGCATGTGAGTACAAGAGGATGACTTCACCCTCCTAAAATAGCAGAGACTGGCTGGTGTCTGCTACAGCTGCAATGACATTAGCCACTGCACTTTCCAAATGTGGTGTTATTGAACCAATTCACGGAGTCTTGAGCACTGGTTATAGCAAATGCCCTGCAGACCCTCAGCTAGGATCCATTCCAGGGGTGTTTTCTCAATGCATGTGCAGTCCTCCTATCAACAGTACAGCTCATACTGGCTTTATCTTGCAGTGGTGGCTTCAGTGTAAATACTGTAGTTCAGGTGGTAAAATCGCTTCAGTTAAAGTCCGTTTTCACAAGCTCATGATTCTGTGCCTTTTCAGATCAAGCTTTCCATGCTTGATCGCCACTGGTAAAAAAATTCAGTAAACCTGAGCAAAGTCCCTTCAGCTGTTTTGTGCTCCTCAGACATAAGAGAATCCACATGCCCCCCCCTACATTAAAACTACCGTCTCTCTTCAGAGGGACAATTCACAAGTAGATGATCTTTGAATCTTGACATGCCCTTAGCATTGAGGCATCTATGATCAGTTCACAAATAAGTGTGCTGAAATTAACAAGGTTAGATATGTTAGTAAACTGCTTACCTGAGAAGCGCAAGACAAAATTTGATTTTCGCGTAGTCTACAACAGAAAAAGTTTGCTGGGGTAGCGTCCTGGCAAACCCTTCTTGTGTAGACGCAGCACTACTGTGCCAGCTGGAGTTTCTAGTGTGAACCTGTCTAAGTCGTCAAGTCTGATTCTCTTATTTACACCAGTGTAACTCCACTCACTTTAGTGTTGCAACTGTGTAAGGTTGGGGAGAATCAGGCCCTGATTTATTTCTTGATTAAATCTATACTACTGCAGTATTGCCATTCCCAGGCACTCAAATGAGAAATCAGCCCCCACCTCCCCCCAAAAAATTCATGAGATTTTTAAATAATGTTTTTGTTTCCTTATTTACAATCTGGTTTCTGGACCTTCAGGGTGTGCTTGTTTCGTGTTCTCAGTTTTCTCCACAACCATGAGGGCCAGAAAGTGTTAGTTTTGGAGCTGTTGTGTGTTGTTTTTTTTTAAGTTTCCCAAGTGATTATTTGACTCCAGCAGCTGGGGCTTTAAGAAACGCCCCAAAAATCACAAGACTCATGACAAAATCATGAGTTCTTACAGCAGTATTAAACTTGATCTGCATCTTCTGGCTATTCCATGTCTTGCATTTAATGACTGGGTGACCTTAATGTTAACAGCCTCTGTAAAAGTTTTATAGAATTTGCAATGGTGAAGGGGGGGAAGAGAGAGACTACTCCTCCTTTTTGCTGTTTTTATTTGTGAAGATACTTTACACTGTATTCTTGTATAATGATAACACTGAACAAACACAAGCGAGAGGAGGCTTGCAGTGCTTTTCAGGTCCCTTGCACTCGGTAAGATCTCCTCTCGTACAATTCTTCAATCGAACACTGACAATAATAATAATAATTTAAAAAAAGCAATAATCACAGTCTGACACACAAGCTGCCCCTTAGAAGCATGCTGCCTTGGCAAAAACAGCACTTCACACAAGACATAGGGCCAGCATTCCTTCCCTCCCCCAAAATGAACACGCACTCAATGGTAACACTAGGTCAGTCTGCCACTTCCTTTAGTTCATGCAACACTTCTTAGTCTGATTGCTTGGCTCTCGCAGATCCACGCGTGACTTCTTCCAGGGCTGAGGCCGAAGGGCTGGTTCCTTCTGTTGTTCCTGTTTCAATAACTCGTGAGCTGTGAAGAAACTCAGAATAAGAAAATCTCGGCCCTTCTCTGTTGAGCTATTGTAACATTTTGTGCTACATACTCAGACCCTGCTCTGACCTTGTTAGGGCAACTTTCCAGCCGCTAATGGAGCAGCTAGGGGTTCCCCTGCTGTGTCCCCCTCCCATCAGCAGTGGGCTGGGGTGTGGCCAGAGCACCCCAATCCCCAACCAGCAGAATGGTTCCTGGTGGTGAAACTTAGAGCAGCCCCAGGGCTGTTTCAATTTATGCCAAGGACTGACCCACAACAAGCAACAGAGAGCAGAAAAGGAGCCTTAGAGCCACTTTCTCCTTCCCTCATGTGCTATTTGGCTAGGCCTGGGGATCTGTCCCTTTATATTTATTAAGATTAAAAATATCTAAATATGAGCAACGGTGATGGATCACTTGATGTTTACCTGTTCTGTTCATTCCCTCTGGGACACCTGGCAGTGGCCACTGTCAGAAGACAGGATACTGGGCTAGATGGACCTTTGGTCTGACCTGGTATGGCCATCCTTATGTTCTTATTTATAATGTTGATGGATTTAAGTTAAGTTTACATTTTAACTTTATTCACTTCATATTTTTTTACCTTGAGACCCAGATGTTTCTTGGCCTAGGACTCCTGCACTTACTATTTAACCAACTTCCATTCACAATTTTCCTCATGCTCCTTCATTCTTTCTGGATAATGGTCCCTCCCTCAGGACTCTCCCATACACCTCTTCATTCCCCGTCCTAGACATCTACAGATTCCACTGCACCTGCATCATGGACATCCCCCTAAAAACATCGCAGTACAGCAAATGTTGTATTGCGCCAAGTTGTCTGTAGGAAATCCCATTATAAAATAGAATGGTGATGATGTGCAAATCACATCTCTGTAAGCTTTAGTGAAATTCTTTTTAAAAGGAACTAGAAGTAGGAGACCCTAACTTGAAATTGGCATAAGATGGGTGCTAGGTAGGATATTAGGAAAAACTTTTTCACTAGGAGGGTGGTGAAGCACTGGAACGGGTTACCTAGGGAGGTGGTGGAATCTCCTTCCTTAGAGGTTTTTAAGGTCAGGCTTGATTTAGTTGGGGATTGGTTCTGCTTTGAGCAGGGGGTTGGACTAGATGACCTCCTGAGGTCTCTTCCAACCCTGATATTCTATGAGTTCCTATTCCCCGGCGGCAAAGGCAAAACCACTCCAGAAGTTTGCTTGTCTCAGAAGTTGGGGGTGGGGGGCAGCCTGTCTGTGTTTGGAATGGGGAAGCCACTGCTCTGGATCTGTCTCGCTCGCTCTTGGCAGCTGTCAGGCTTGACAGGCCAGAGTGTACCCAGTCAACTCTTGTCTATGCCTAGAGGCAATGCACTGCTGCATTCGCAGTAAAGACTTTCCAGTTCCTGGACCTCTTCAGGTCAAGTAACTCAACCCTAATTGCCCCTGAGCAACTGGGAGGAGACAAGCAGTGCTGTGCTATAGCTCACAAGGCCAAGAGCTGGCACAGACCTCAGCATCTCTCTAGTGCTGTTACCTGTACAACGGCTTCTCACTTGGAACTTACCTATGGCCATAAACACCTCGGTCACTTGGTGGTTGGATTTTGCCGATGTTTCCATGTAGATTAAGCTTTTGCTCTTTGCAAACTCCTCCGCCTCCTAGATGGGGGGGCGGGGGAGGGGAACACGACAAAAACAGGGTTATTTCAAAGTAGACTTAGGTGTGTTCTGCACTGTAATCACATCCAGCTTGGTAAATGTCCCTCTGTAACCATCCTGGAAGGTGGTGGAAATAAGGGGTCCATTTACAAGGTATGGAATCTTGTCCTTAGGCCTGACAGGGAGACACAGCTCCTCCCTGTATGATTAGTCACTGCAGGCATGACTGAGCCCTGCCCAGTGTGGACAGGGCTGCATGGTGCCAACTTGGAGAAGCGAGCTTGGAACGGACACAAACACCAGTGTAGCAGGAGTACCACAACTTGCCCTGTCTGACTAGTGGCTGGGAAGTAGGAAGAGGAGCATGCAGCAATTTGCAGCTATTCACAAGGGTGGCTCTGGAACAAATCTCTAAGCTGGATGCTGCAAACTGCCTTAGGGCCTCGTACCCCCTCCCTCCCCCCCCCGTCGTTAGCTCCAGCACTTGCACTGTCAGACTCATGATGTACCAAGGAGCCTTAAGGCTTAGAACTCATCTGCATGGTGCATTAGTCTGCACTGCAGGGGGGTGGCTTGTGCGTGCTGCAGTGACACACACTAGGGAACTCTCCGTGCGTGCCAGCAGGTCCTTATGGGCCAGTTGGTGCACAACACACAAGTGCACCCTAGACCTCGCACCCCGCTCGTGCAAACAAGCTCTTAATTTACACTGACTTTAGTTCCCCACCTTTCTGAAGGGGGGGTGTCCAGTGACAGAGCCACCGTTCCATTCCAGCAGATTCTGCTGCAAAGTCTAAAGCTTCCCATTTCCCCAGCTCACGCTCCTTCTGTTCCATTCACGCGGTTGCAGCCGAACTGTTTAGGCCACGCTTGTTTTCTGTATTGCACAGCTCAAGGCATTGCGGCAGCTCTCTGACTGGACCGTGTTAAAACTCACTGGCTCACCGGGTTTTGATGCACTAGCCTTGCAGATGGCTTGGTTTGTACTGGACATATTCAGAGTGAGATCTTGTCCAAAGTGGGGGGGTGGGGTGAGGAGAAAGGAGTCAACACATTAATACTACGGGGTCAAAGCAGGAGCATAACTGCAACCATACATGTACTAACAGGCTACCCTGGGCTAAGATTTGAAGCCCACAAGCCGGGAAGTTGGTAGATAAGGCTACTGCTCTCATCCTTCCTGCCCCCTTCTCACCCTACTCCTATCTCTGCTAGAGCTGCTCAGGGATTCTTTGTCAACGTATTGCTATTGGAAAATGCCGGTGTGGCAAAACAGAAATGTGTTTTGTGGAAACGTGTGTGTTTGGCTTAAACTTTCCTCAAGAAGGTTCTTCAAGTCCAGGCTGGCGTTCTGGTGAGAACTCACCCCTCCTGCTCCCCCCAAACCCCAGCCCAGACTAGCCAACAGCCCTGTGTGTAGATCAGGGGTCGGCAACGTTTGGCACGCGGCTCGCCAGGGTAAGCACCATGGCGGGCCGGGCCAGTTTATTTACCTGCTGATCCGGCAGGTTAGGCCGATCGCGGTCCCCACTGGCCGCGGTTCGCCGTCCCGGGCCAATGGGGGTGGCGGGAAGCAGCAGCCAGCACATCCCGCGCCGCTTCTCGCCGCCCCCATTGGCCCGCGATCGGCCGAACCTGCCGCGTCAGCAGGTAAATAAACTGGCCCGGCCCGCCAGGGTGCTTACCCTGGCGAGCCGCGTGCCAAACGTTGCTGACCCCTGGTGTAGAGCAATCACTTGGGGTGTGGGAGGCCCAGGTATGAACCCCTGCTCTGCCTGGTGCCTCTAATTCTCACACAATGGAAGTCTTGTTTTCCAGCCAGCCCTAATCCCCACCATCTTGATCAGAGCCCTGGAGGAGAGGCATCACAACAGCCTTCGATTGCGTGATCAAATGACACTAGGCAAGGGCACGTGCTATTGAGCAAGTGTCCAGCTGACACACAGCCTGCGGTTATAGCTATGTTTCACACTTGGTATGTCTTCACAGCAGCTAACTCAGGTGACTGGCACCCAAGTTGGCCTAGCCTGGCTGTGAGCAGCCACATGGCAACTCCTTCCCCAAATTATTGTGTCCCCACTGGTGCTGCGTGCTCCCGTGTGTGTTGCTCTGGCTTCTGGAGGCATATGGGGGAGGGATAGCTTAGTGGTTTGCGTATTGGCCTGCTATGCCCAGGTTTGTGAGTTCAATCCTTGAGGGGGCCATTTAGGGATCTGGGTCAAAAATCTGTCTGGGGATTGGTCCTGCTTTGAGCAGGGGGTTGGATTAGATGACCTCCTGAGGTCCCTTCCAACCCTGATATTCTATAGCCCGTGGTTCTGTCTGCTGCAGTACGCTGAACCACTCTGATTCTTTCCCAGGGGATTGTGGGAGAACTCCACTCTCCTTCTGGGCGCACTGGAGGCCTATCAGCACTGGAATGGTTTATTCTGCACCCTCACTGCAAAGTGCGTGGGTTTTTGTGTGGATGGGTGGGGGGTTAACTGCACTGAAGACCTACCCATGTTTGACACAAAGGCCCACTAGTGGTTCGTAACTCTTGTCAGGCATGACGTACTCATCGGTGCGGTGAGTGATACTTATTTAAAAGGTGATGTGTAATATGTCATTTGAAATCTAACACCACATTTCACCGTCACTGTGAAATGTTTGTAACAACTCTGTAGCTGAAGTCACAGATATTCCCAAGGCTGGCCTTACCATGAGGCAAACTGAGGCGGCCGCCTCAGGTGCCAGACTGGGGCGGGGCGCCACTAGGACCCAGAGTGTAGAAAAGTGTGTCTGCTGCTGGTGCATATGTATTCTCTCTGCTCTAGATGCACAGAGATGGTGGAGTGCTGTGCTGGAGGAAGGAGGGCACAAGAGACATAACAGGCAGGCAGGAGAAAAAGTGAGAGGGAATAACAGAAAGCAGCAGGAGCTGCAGGAAGGGAGAGAGAGGAGGAGGAGCCTCTTATGTACCTCTCTAGCATCCCCAGGAGCCTGGACTGATTAACACCAGCTTCTCAGGGAGCTTCCTGTTTGCTGCTGCTTCCCTGAACCCACTTGAGGAGAACAGGCAGTCAACTGAAGTAGTTAGGCCCTTAAGACACTGATATCTTCCCTCACTCAGGCCCTGCTACCAGCCTGCTTATTTGTCCCCTTCAATTGAGTGTTGAGAGCCACTATAGCTGGCACAGAACAGTAGTCATGAGTGAAAGAAGAAAACGCCCCTCTAGGGCAGCATTCAGAAAAAGAAAGAAAGCAAAGGAAGCTTTTCTATCTAAGCAGGAAGGCGCTCCCCTGAGATACATAGACACAAATGTTCACGGTGAGCCTTCCGGCCCCAGTGAGGATGTGAGTGGTGAGGAGATGCCTGATCTTCCAGTTAGTCAGAGTGCAGGTGACCTGGCAGCTACTGCAGCATCCATATCTCCATCTCAAATGGATGTAACCATGCACATTCCTGAAGAAAAGTGTAGATCAGAGAAGAGCGTGGTGGAGGCGCAAGAAACAGCTGCTGCTAAGTTTAGTTCCTTAAGTCTAGATGATCCAGGACTGTGGACTCACTTGAGCAGTAGCCTGAGGGACTTCCTTGTAGTGCATAGGCCACAGCAAGTGAAAAATTCATGTTCCCCAAAGACAATGAAAATAGAAGTTTCCATCCAACACATTACTGGCATGAAGTCCCCAATGGTGACAAAGTGGAGAGGCCATGGCTTATGTACTCAAAAACCCAGAATGCTGCATACTGTTTTTGTTGCAAACTCTTCCAGTCTAATGTTCCAGACACATTGGGTTCTACAGGAACAAAGGACTGGAAAAATCTGGCTAGAAATCTGGCATGCCATGAGAAGGCAGCAAATCACCAGAGAGCATTCCATAGGTGGAAAGAGCTTGAGATGGGACTAAGGTTAAAGACCACCATAGATGATCAGCATCAAGAGAAGATTGCATCAGAATCTCTTTACTGGCAAAATGTTCTGAAAATGCTCATTGCCATTGTGAGAATGCTTGCTACCCAAAACCAAGCACTGCGTGGCACTTCAGATCAGCTGAATATGCCAAACAATGAAAACTTCCTTAAAATTGTGCAGCTGATGACTGAGTTTGATGCAGTACTCCAGGAGCATCTAAGAAGAGTCACCACCCAAGAAATGTACACACACCACTACCTTGGAAAAACAATTCAAAATGAGATCACACAGTTACTGGCAACAAAAGCCAAACAGAAGATTGTGGCAGATCTGAAGTCAGCAAGATATTACTGTTATTCTGGACTGCCCACCTAACATCAGGTATACGGAACAAATGACTTTAATGGTGCGTTTTGTAACAACAGCAGAACCTAGTGAAAATGTCCCTGCAATGGTGACTATCAGAGAGCATTTTCTAGAATTTATTGACATTGATGATACTACAGGAGCTGGTATGATAAATGTGCTTCTTAAAAAGCTGGAAGATACGGGAATTGCGATAGCTGACATGAGAGGTCAGGGCTATGATAATGGTGCCAACATAAGAGGAAAGAACAGAAGAGTGCAGACACGGATCTGAGAGTTAAACCCTCAAGCTTTTTTTGTCCCATGCAGTTCTCAGTCATTGAACTTGGTGGTCAGTGATGCAGCATCAGCTTCTAGTGAGGCTGCTGAATTTTTTAATGTAATTCAAAGCATCTATGTATCTTTCTCTGCATCAACTCATCAATGGCAAATTTTGAAGCAACATCTGGGAACATCCTCTCTGACACTGAAACCTACCTATGCACACTCTGAACCCTCTGAACAAACCCACCATAGCTCAGGAAAGTCTCTAAGATCCAAGAAAATTAGCAGCTGAAACAGAGGGCAAAATGGGATTTATGACCTCTAACATCCCTGACACCAAGTAGGGCCTTGCTATATTGCTCGCTGCTAGGAGAATCACGTTTGTCTAAACATTTACTTATGAACTGTTCAGTGTGAAAGCCTGAAGTGCTGCACTCGGTGCACACGCTGCCATGGTGTTTTTGAAAGAGATAATCTGCCAAGTGCTGAGAGCTTACTGCAGTGACGCCACTTACCTCAAAGGTGACTTCCCGCTGAGCAGCAAGATCTGTCTTATTGCCGACTAAAACAATCACGAGCTCATCAGGAAGAAATTCCTTCTCTAATTCCCTCAACCATAGCTTTGCTCTCGCAAAAGTTCCCTGAAAGGTGAGAGACACACACAGACAATAAACCGACAGATACTCAGGAGCTGTCACGTGGGCCAAAGGAGATTGGCAAGTGAGGGCTAAAAATTGTAGAAACAAATGGGTTATGTGCTTGTCACAGGTAGTGATTCTAGGAGGAACCTAGATGTACTTCCTTCCCCAAAGCCAAGGAGGATGACTTCTCCTCCATCAGTCATGACCCAACCACCATGGAACTCCAGTCGGTCATAGACCCAGCTTACAGGTGATGGGATGAGGTGATTGGGCTCTTTCATGATGGGGCAAGGATTCTTAAAAGCTTGGTCTATCTCTTCCGTAAAGTTCTGTTACTGTGAGATGTTACTCTTCAGCAGCCTATGGTCTCCTCCTTCTGTAACTACCATGGCAGTAATACAGGCATATGGCCCTCAGTGTTGCGGTTCCTGTGTGTTGCGTGTTACCAGTGAAAGGGAAAAGACATGCATAACATAGTGGGAGATCATGCAACATGTCCCCCTGGAACAGTCCATCAGAAATGGACATTAGTGTAAGCCAACTAACAGATGCGTTTAATCTTACACTCACTCCCAGCTCCCTAGACTTTAAGGATGATATAGTGAAATACCAACAGACCCCAGTTGTTGGCAGGTGGGATTGAACCTGGGGCCTCTGGAGCTTAGTGCATGAGCCTCTACCGCATGAGCTAAAAGCCAACTGGCTCTTAGCTAAGGCTGTAGAGCAGACTCATTTTATCTCTCGAAGTGGTCTTGGTGCCACTAGATGGGACAGAACACCACTCCCAGAAGGTGTGTGGGTTACATGAGGGTAGGGGAACAAAGAGCACTTAGTGATGCTCCCCCATTACCTACTTGGCTGTTGGGGTGGATTGGGCTGGGAGATAGGGGTAGATAGAGAAATCTTGGTTTTTAGGGGGAAAGCGTGAGCATTTATTGTCCACTGTAAGTGAAATGTCTGTACCAGTTCCTTGCATGGCTTCAACCATCTTTACCAGAAGACGAAGGATACACCTGCCCATGACGTGTAGCCCTTACGTGATACGTGTGCAGGAAAAAGTAGTCTTTGTTGAAATGTTTGGAGACGTATTGGGAAGCTACCCTCCACTAGAACTATTGCAGCATACCAGCAGCGTGGCTGCATTGTCAAGATTCAGTCTGGCTATTTTAGAAAGTTAAAGGCAAACCCTTCTGGAGGAGAGAGGCGGAAGAACAAGCCATCGCTGAGCTTACCTTTCTGGCAATGTCATATACAAGAAGGGCAGCGTTAGCCTCCTTGTAATAAAGATGGCAAACGCTATGGTACTTCTCTTGTCCTGCAGTGTCCCAAATTTGAAGCTTAATCGTGGCAGTCTCTAAACATACCAGCTGGGTGAAGAAAGAACCTGGAAGCAACAGAGATGGGACAGCTCATTGAGAAAGCCATAGCATGCACCTTACTTAGATGGTAACCTTTATCTCGGTAACCTGTGTGAAAGATGGGTGTCAAGATTCAGTTGGAAAGGGTTGGGTGGGGGGATGAGAGAGAGAATTAAAACACCCCCTTCCCCGCCAAAAGCAATATAACAAACATGCTGGTGAACTGGTATTACCCAATGACAGCACTGTACTACACCAATGCACTTCAGCATGGAATAGTTGGGAGATGGGGGGGGGGGGGGGGAGAGAAATGAGAACAATGGTTTTTGCTCAATCCATCAATATTAGTGGCATTAGCAAGCTTTGGTTTTGCAGCTGTCTAGTTGGAGGAAATGTGATGGCAGGGTAGGAATTAGGAGTCTTGAGTTCCAATTCAGCTGTACGGTGCCTGGCCCCTGTTGAGTGCTGCTGGAACAGAAATATTGCAATCTCCCCGACACTGATTTGTATGACCTTGGGCAAGTCACTTAAGGCTCAAGTGGGCCCTTAAGCACAGCCCTGATTATACATAAGCAGCGCTGTCCCAGGAGTAGCCCCGGGGAGGTGTTCAGATGCTTCTGAGCTACAACTGCTTTTTCTTGTTCTTAGCCCATGCCGGCAAACTTGCCCCACCCCCAAACTGGCAGGGCTATGCTGGCCAGTGGGCGTGGGTGGCACCAAGGCCATGCGTGCTCGCCCTCTACCTGCTCTAGGGAAGTGACAGGTGCACATCTGGCCCAGAGGTGTAAAGGTGGGGGGAGAAGCCTTTGCTCTCCCATGCTCCCCCAGGCAAATGTGTGGGCCAAGTCCCAGTCTAGCCCTTAACCTTTCTGTCTCAGCTTGCCCAGATGGAAAATGGGTCTAATTAAAATCCACCTCCCTGGAGTGCTGTGAAAGCCAGCAAATGTCTGCAAAATGTTTGAAGATCCTTGGTCTGAAAATGCTATAGCAGGTCAAATGTGCAGATGTGCAGAGTAGATAGGCATCTGTTAAGGGCCAGATTGTCTAACAAATACATGGGCTTGAGGTAGAGGGGGCAGTACAGAGCCAAAGCTCTCCGGAGAGCCCTGGGAGGGACAGAAGCCTTCTCTGAGTGCCAAGCAATGTAGGCGAATGATACCCCACTCCTTGGTATAGGCACTGTGACGGCCTGGTTTGTGTGGAAGTGTGGGAGACCCCTTGGGCCCTCCATCCCCACTCTCCTGGCAAAGGTCAGGATCCTTCTTTAAAACAGGAAGAAAAGTGTCTTTCTGCCTATTTTTGACAAAGACACAGCCAGATCCTTGCTTATGTAAATTGGCCTTACCTCCATTAAAGTCAACATAGAACAGATGGGATCAGTCCCATGAACATCAATGGCCTCTCTAGCTCATACCAGGGTCTGTGAGCTTGCAAAACTTCCTAAAGAGACTTAACTGACCTTGTGTTGACATCTCCAATAAAAACTAAAGCCATGTTTTCCATCAATGTTGCCTACTGAGATTAATCTTTTTGCATCTGATGATGGGAGCGTGTAGCAGAACTGGGTGAATAATGGTGGTTTGGTTTTGTTAGTGGCAATTTTGAAAAGTCAAAAAAAAAAAAATTCATTGCAAGTCCAACACCACATGAAATGTTTCAAAGATTTTGACTCTATGTCGAGAGAAATTTTATTCTGGGTCAAATGAAACATTTATTTCAACTTTGACCATTCTAAATTTTTTAAAAATAAGACTAAAGGAATTTTTGAAAGTCATTTCAAGCCAAATGAAATGAAACATTGTGATACTTTTTTTTCAAGTTGTTTTTGTTTGTTTGTTTTTAAACAAACAATTTAGTGAAACTACCATGAAGTCACAAGGCGGGTGAGATAAGATCTTATCTTGGACCAACCTCTGTTGGGGGAAGGGACACACTTCCATGCTACACAGAGCTCTTCCTCAGGTCTGAAGAAGGAACCAGAGCGTTACAGCTAAATACTCCGCTTCCTACCCAGACCTTGGTGAGCTCTGTAAAGCTCAAAAGCTTGTCTCCTCTAGGGTGACCAGACAGCAAGTGGAGGGTAACAGGCACCCAAATATGGGGACTGTCCCTATAAAATCGGGACATCTGGTCACCCTAGTCCTCTCCACCAACAGAAATTGGTCCAATAAAACACCTACCTTGTCTCTTCAATATTCTGGGACCAACATGGCTACATTAACACTGTTACCATGAACTCCTAAAATGTGGTGGTGTCACTGGATCTGCAGCTTTTTCAGAAAAAAACTTCAGCTGAAATTGCACCTAGTTCTAGTGTGAGTGGGCTTCTGTTTAAACACCAGGAAAATGATGTCAAAGGCAGGTATGCTGATAACATTGGAGAGGCTAGGTGGGGTGCTTTGACTAGACTGACTGGAGCGATATAATGGGCAGAGCTGCTGGGAGTCTGGGAAGATAGCCTTTTAAATGTCATCTGTTGGAGGCCTTGTTGTCCTCTGTCCTCTGTCACAAACAGGGCAGAACAGAGTGTTACGTCTGGTTTTTCTGACACCCAGGAATTATACAAGAGATGGTTCCAACCAAACCCCATTAGATCGGACTCTGAAGCGCAGTTCCCAGGATTCCAGGGTGCGCGTGTGTCAGTTTCTGCAGCGAGAGTAAGAACTTGGTGCAATTTCGCAGTGAATGCTGTGAATGGGACTGGCACAAATCCATAGATAACGCAGTGCGATTGGTAGTATTTTTGTGGGGGCAGTTGGGAGAGCATGGAGAGAACGCAGATGGGAAAATCTATAACATTTAATCGTAAATGGTAAACTCTCTCTTGGGTTACTCAGGTGTAGACCAAAACTCTCGGCTGACATGACCTATTTAAATGCTGCACTACCTACAATGAACCACTAGATGTCACTCTAACTCCACAATGAATACAGCTGTTTTGCTGTTTCCCTGTTCATGATTTCTTGGTCTGTGTCTCCAGTCTACCCCAGTGGAGAAATGTGTCCTGCATGTGGCCTAATCCTCCCTGACACTGAACTCAAAAGGCCCCTGGCCACTGGTGTCAGTGGAGTAGTAGATGCTCAGGCCTGACTTTTTTCAGAAGTGCTTCTTAGGTAGGTGCCTAAAGATCCAGCTATAAAAAGCAGCATCAGAAAAGGCCCAGCTTTTAAAATGGGCACATTAGCCTGCACAGCTTGCGCGACCTTAACCAGACTTTTCCGTATCTCGCAGTTGTCAAGCTGAGAAACCAAACTAACCACACACTCCATTAGCCGCCAGGGAGCTCCAACTGGAGCCCCTAAGCCCCTGCCTCCTGAGTGCCGTCCTGCTGCTTCTCTGCTGGGCCTGACAGCTTAAGCAAAACCAAACTTCTCGCAGGCGTAGCTCCACTGACTCCAGCAGAGATACTCCTGCTATAAGGGAGACGCAGATCAGGCCCTTTATGTTGCACCAAAGGATTAGTTCATTGCTGCCACTCACTTACATCCCATAGTGGGCATGAATTCCCGGAAGTCATTTTTCACATAGCGGAAGGCTATGCTTGACTTTCCCACGGCCGTGCTCCCCAGCAGAACCACCTTGTAGATGTAGGATTGCTCCGTGGAAGGCCCCGCCCCCACCTGCTGCGTTCTTCTCGGGGCCATAATCTGCAAAGAAGAGAAAAAACCCTGTTCAAAAGGCACTGGCAATGAGCCCCAGGGCCCTCGGATGATTAGCTGCGTACACTCTAAAGAGTTAGGCCCCGGGCCTCGATTTCCCACTCAGCATAGCGGGAGACGTGGCTCCAGTTTAATCCTTCCTGCACCCCTGTTCCAATCGATCAAGCTCAACATGCTTAAAAGAATCGTAATGGGAGTCTAACCCTATGGGTACATGTACAGTACGGGGGGCTGTACCGACATAGCTCCGTCACTGTATAGGCCAGTGTAACGCAGTGGTATAGACACAGCCAACACCAACAGAAAGGGGGTTTTCCTTTAGTGTAGGACACCGCTTCCCCGAATGACAGGCGCTTCAGCGATGGAAGCATTCTTCTGTCAACATAGCCGCATCCGCCGTGCGGGTTAGGTTGGCATGGCAATGTCACACCGGAGTGTGGCCAACCACAAGGCAACGTGCTGACCTAACTTAGGTGTAGACCAAGTCTAATCCATAGAATCATCAACCACCTGAGCTGCTGTGGCCACAGTCACAATGTCAGGTGGCCTCTGGTAGCAGCACTGTGAACTCCATAGTCCCTATCTCAAATACTATTCATAGCGCTCCAACCTTTTCCCCCAATACCTGACTTCCTGAGACATCTCTTCCGTCAATACACTGGCTTGGGCTCTTGGAACAAACTTGATACCGGTGGCCGCAAAGCTTCCATCGCTAGGCTCATAAGTGGCAGTCCAGATGCACAGCCATGAATCAGTCGGACTTTTTCCTCACCAAAAAACCTCACTGGCCCTATACTTGTGGTTCTCAGGAGTCTCAAAGGCCAGATGAGGCTGGCTATGGTGGGAGGCTGGGTCGGGGAAACCATCAGTGGCTGAACTTTTAACCCTAGCAACTAGCTTGTCTTGAAGTCGGTTTCTAGTGCTTGGTGTTACGAAGATGGGCCACATTTTCAAGGCTATATTCAGCCTTAGCGATCGTTTAAAAAAATAAGGGGACCTATGTCCATGGTTTCACAGGCCCCCAACTCCAGCTGTAGTAATGACAGAGGCAGATCTATGAACCCCTAAAGACAAGCAACCCATGAAAACAAACGCCTGTCAGAGACTGATTTTTTTTTTAAATGGCTCCTTTTGTAAACTCTGATTGTCAAATCTCTGTATCTTCGCTCCTTCATATATACCTGCCTTTGTAGAGTGATTTGAGATACTTGGATAAAAGACTCTTTATCACAGCTGAGTAATTGTTACAGGGAGGAGCTCACTTTGAAGATGGCTGATCCTAGACACAGAGCTAGGTTCCACCTGTAGCTGACAACCTGCCCACACAAACATCAGAACTGTGTGCCCTGATCTTCCGCCCAGTTACACCTCCTCCCCATGGGTAACTGTGGGGCTCAGTGACAAAGCCCCGGGTTGTATAAGCCATTATCAAGTTTTAGATGCATTTAGAAGCAGCCTGTGTGGCTCCCAAAATGAAAGATTTAATCTTCCTAGACAGAGAGTGATTAAAGCAGATCAAAAGAAAAGGCGTTCACCAAATGAAGTGCTGGGCTGACAGACATCTGTCAGGCGGTGAGGCGGTTTTCCTTGCGTCATCCTGTGGGGATGGAGACTGGACGCAGAGAAGGGAAATGAGGAAAAGTGAATCTGAAAGTGATCTCAAGCCAGCCAAACTCTGCACCAGGAAGTAAAAAGAAGCAAAACTTCACAGCGACACCTCCGTCCTGAGCAAATGTAAGAAACAAAACACCATCCCCAGAAGTCTCGCCAGCTAGAATCTTCTGACCACCTGCAACTCTCCAACATGACACCCCACTTTGTAGGGGCATTTCCTGGGGTTCCCCCTTCTCTCTCCCTCAATCGTTATTCAGACTACACCAGACGGGAGAGTCTTTGACATAAAAAGAGACCGGACACTGGAAAGCTGTTAGCGTCTTCCTCTGAGCGTTTCTGAAATGCCCGATGAATTCTCCTATAATGCAGGAAATTGCAAGACAACACTGAATAGAAACTTTATGCAAAAATGTTGTGAATTGCAGCTGTTGAATAGAACTTGCCAGTGGTGAGTTGTCTTAAGAAATCCATAAACATGCATCAAATCCAGTGAATTTGCTCCCCTTTCAATCAGCCATGAATGTAAAACACAACCACCTCAGAGGGCAGCACTGCATTAACAACGTAAAATGCCATGTAGAACCAGACTCCATTATCCCCTCCCCTATACCTGATACAGGACACCAGTGCATATCTCCACAGGAACATAACCACACAGCATGGGACCACTGGTCCGTCTAGAATAGCAGCCTGTCTCCAACAGTAGTCACTGCTAGTTGCTCCAAAGGGGGTGACCATGACCTAACTTTCCCATAGGGGAGGTTTCTTCCAAATCTAATCCAGTTTATGGACTAAACCATGAGTTTCTCGCCATCTAAATTATTTTAACCCGATCACATCTCTAAAGACCCACCTCCTCGTGTCTCCTTGGCACCAGACTTTCCATAAAGCAGTTTCTGTTTTCATCCTTTTCCCTTAATTGGCTACACTCTTCTTTCTCCTTTACCCGTCTAGGGCCACTTCCTCGCTCTTTCCGTGTTTATCCCTCTGATTTATTTATTGCTCCCTTCCTCCATCTAAGCTGCCTCCTCTCCCCCATCCGTTTAGGTTTTTGTAAGGGTGCCCATCACCATGGTATCTGAGCACCTTGCACAAAGCCACGCTTAGCTCTTACACGGCACTCACTCCACAGACCTCAAATCCCTTTACAAAGGCATTATCATAACCCAGCTGGGGCAACGGAGGGGAAGTGACTGGTTCTGTGTCACGCAGCAGCTCAGAGCCAGCCAGCAACAGAACCTAAGTCTCCTGACTCCCAGGCCAACGCCTGATCCACTGGACCACACAGTTTACTCCTTTAGCTTTCTCTTCCATTCCCCCTCTGTCCAAGGTCATCTTGAGCTCCCCTGGTTGTTCACCTGGAGCCAGCCCAGATCTGCTAAACCTTAGGCCCTAGACTCAGGCTTAGGGGGATTTCTTAGGCCCTCAGGAATCATAGGACTCTTGATGGTGCAGCAGCTGTGGATACCAAAGCCATGGGTGGGGTTTTCTTTCCCATTTCCCTGGGGAGGAGAGACAGTAGGAGATTCCAGGCTGGGACACTGCTGCTCCACCTTCTGGCTAGGAACCTCAAACTTTCCATCTAGGTATAAGGAGCTCTTATTCCCCCTGTCTGGCAAGTCTTCACTTCCTCAGACAGGGGTAGGGACACAAGGAAAGGAAGCTGGGCTCCCCCAAGGTGGGAGGGAAAGGACAAGAAGGTCTCCTGCTTTTTGCAAAGCAAATGGTCTTGCTATCCCTGGTGTTCTCCTAGTTCTAACCCTTGTCACCAAATACTTTGTGTGTAGTGATTGCTTTAGTAGGCTGAAAAGGCACATGTGTCCTTTCAAAGCACATCATCCCTCACTGAGAACTCTCTCCAATTCCCTCTGGCTTGACGCTTCCTATGCTTGGTATTGTCCTAAAGGTTTGTGTAAGATGCATGTGGGTCTCTTGTCTTTTCACCCTGCCCGTTTGGAAAGCTTGACCAAGAGCCACGCAGCCATGTTTCAATTAGATGAGTGAGACTACGAGGAGGGACATGGCTTTCAATTCTCTAAGTATTTTGTTAACTCCAGAAAAATTATGTATTTATTCCCCTAGCACCTCTAGTGTGCAAGGCTCTTCAACTGGGTAAAAAGGCACCATCCCCTACAAGTCAAGGTTTCTGATTTTAGGTTTTAACCAACAAACACCAATGAAATCGGTGTTTATCCAACAAACACCACAAAAACGCTCCGTTTCTGTTGACTTCACCTCTTTCCCAGTGTGGTTTGTTTATGTAGGCAAAATGGCCCTGCTTCTGGACTGTATCTAAGGGCTTATCTACACGGAGCAGTAGTGCAGGCTCTGGGGGTATGATTTCTAAAGCGTGCCTTAATTGATCTGTGTAGACCCTTCTGGTGCACACTAAAAGTTCCCTAGTGGGCTTTAACATAGTGCTGTTTGAAACAGTACTTCATTAAAGCACACTAGGGAACAAACGCACTAAATGCTAACCCAGGAGTTTAATAACAAGGATTCAAAGGTTAACCTAACATGCACGTCATCTTTTATACACATGATAAAAATGAAAGTACAGTAGAACCTCATAGTTACAAATAACCTCCATTCCGGAGGCGTTTGTAAGTCTGAACAAAACGTTATGTTTGTTCTTTCAAAAGTTTACAACTGAACATTGATTTAATACAGCTTTGAAACTTTATTATGCAGAAGAAAAATGCTGCTTTCTCTTTATTTTTTTAGTAGTTTACGTTTAACACAGTATTGTACTGTATTTGCTTTTTTCTTTTCTCTGCTGCTGCCTGATTGCATACTTCCGGTTGCAAAGGAGGTGTGTGGTTGACTGGTCAGTTCATAACTCTGGTGTTTTGTAACTCTGAGGTTCTATTGTAGATCCTATTCGGACAAGAATTTTGGGAAGTACCTGAAAAAATCTTCCCATGACAGTATCAAAGAACGCCTTGGAAAAACCCTGCTTTGAGGACATGTACATAGACCTCAAATTTCTAAAATTAACCCTGAAAACCAGAAGCCCTGAAGATAGATAAACCAAAATCAGGTACTGGGGGGAGTACAGCATGCAAGCCAAAATAACTGAGGAAATGCTTGAATATATTTTTGATGATTAACACTTAATTAGTGGTTTGTTTTCAAAGCACTGAGCGTTCCCTAGGGTGTGTTTAAAAATACATAAAATCCAATTGGGGAGGGAGGGGGAAATGTAATTGCATGTGAAATTATCTTCATGCAGAATCACTCCTGCCTGCATAGTCCAAGTGCACAATCATGCAAGAACACACACCGCTTCTCTCATATAACCACATTCTTAAGTCTTCGCAGGATCAGGGCCCGTGATTATAACTGTGTTTGTTATACTTGTGTCAGCACCTGGG